AACCAATCAAGATAGACTATGTTATGAACTTGGTCATATTCATTATCATTCTCTTCATTACGATCGATTTCATCTTGAAGTTTCTTTTGAATGAGAGGTTCTTTTGCCAAAACATATGTAGAATAGGCAAGTGCTGCAGATGTTGTATCATATCCAGCCATCATGAACAACAATATATTGCTACTCACTTCATCATAATGAAGTACTTTCGACATACAATCATGATCAATATAATCCTAGAATATTTGGTTTTCATTCTTCTAAATGAATCAATAAACTAACCTTGACTTGTTCTCTTGTCGCAGTATCAAGCATTAGTTGAAGTAAATCAACCTTTCGTTTTACATTGTCATTATCATAGGAAGATGTACGAATATCAATTATATCTTTTACACGTTCTAAAAGCCAAAATCGAGGCATTTCTTCAATATTTCGTATGAATTTATGTGCAAAACGTTTCAATTGAACTTGCACAATCATAACATAAGTCAGTAACGGAATAAGCCATGGCATTAAATGGCCCAATCGAATTAATGGATTTTTTTCTAAGTTTTCTTCTATGTTTTTTTCAGCTTTCTTGAAATATTCATTATCAATATCATTCTGTATGTCTGTAATAGTTCCAAATGCACAATGACCTATGTTTTATATTTAGATTAAATTGACATTACTGTACAATAAAAAGTTCACTCACAAACTACATCCATTGTCAATCTCTTGTAGAGCAAGTAAATATTAAATTGTTGTTGTTGTTTGCAATGTTCTGCTAATATTTTCATCAATGAACTGACACATTTATGAACCATTGGTGTCATCAATTTGAGTTTAGCTGACGTAAATGCTGGATTAATAATTTGTCGTTGACGATACCATTTTGCTCCACTAGCACCTAATAGATGAACATGATTTCCAGTTGACTTTCGAAGAATGAATGGTAGACGTCGTGAATGAAATGATGAAAATTGTTTTATAAATACTTCTTGAAGAAATTCGACATCGGAAACAACATATAATGGCCGAGTACCTTCAAATAAACCATAAATTGAACCATATTGACGAGTCCATGTTTGCAATTGATAAGTTAACAGTGGAACTGACCAAATAGTCTTATAATGACCAAAGAAAAATCGATGTGGAGGACCTGGAATGCCATGCTGTTTGAAATAAGAATAGCAAGAATTTAAAGTCCATAAATACACGATTATTATTATTAAAAGACAGAAAAAAAGAGTCACAAACAATAACATGTTTCAAGGTAAGTAAAGTGAGTAATCAAACGTCTCATTAGGTAATTTTTTTTTTAATACTTCGATATATTCTCAACGATTTTGTTACGCTCGAATGATCGCGTATATTCTATTTTGGTATATACCATAAGTATGAGTAACAGATTTTCTTTTCTCTCAGATCAATGCTCGATTATAAGATAGGAAAAGTTGAATGAAGCGAATATGATTATAAGAAGATCTGTAAATGAAAAACAGCAGAAATGAAATATCTCGAAAAAAAATAATGAATAAACAAAAAAGTTCATTCAATTCAAACGATCAACAAGATTTCCTAACGTTAAATATGAAATGACAATAAATACCTACAACGAGACTTTATAGTTTTCATTCCGTTGCATCCTTTCTTATTTGCAATTATATATAATTATGCTAACGAATGACTTCATATTATTGGTTATATAGACCAGAGTCGAGCCCAGATTTTATTTAATATAAGAACTATATAGGAGGATTGATAAATTTGAGATTGTAGTTTCTATCAGCAAAAATTCAAAGATGAATGAAACATATAGTGTGAATTATCAACGAATACAAATTAAGAAAATAAGATACCAACAAACCAAAAATTCTCTGAGTAATAAGAAATTATGAATACAAAAGAAATTTTAAATTCTACAGACTTACACTAATTATTCTAGGAGCGAAAATACAAATAAAAAAAATTATAATCTAAGTTCTTTGTTCACTTTCCAAGGTTTTAATATAAGAAAATAGCTATCTCACGAATTTCATCTTCTTAACGTAGATTCATATTAACTCATCATCTATTTTTCATATAATTCAATGAATAATTTTTTTTCTGATATCAGCATCTGAATATGTATTCATTAGTATAAACAAAAGTAAGAAGATCATATTCAATCTTTTGAGAAATATCTAGCATGTTAAAACTATTTATTTAACATTAATGAAACAAAAGATAACTGTTCAGGCACTTGAATTTACAAATTTTTTAAGTCAACAGCAGTATTGTGTCTGCATTCATACTCTTTTATATCATTGGTGTGTTTAAAAAAAACTTTGTTGATATTGACTCAGTTGCTTGTTAAATTTTTTGAATAAATATATTGAAATGATGTTCTGCAACCAAAATAACAAACTGTTTTATGAATTGGTATTGTTTGATTATCTATTTTCAAAACGAATTATATATCGATTTT